TGTCCAAGATCCCGAGAAGAGAATGGAGGAGAAGGGATTGTGGCCTGGCCATCCCCCTGGGGGTGATTTCTCGCTTTCTGTCTCTCTTTCTTTCTCTGTCTTTCTGGCAAGCGCACACGCCCTATAGCAAAAAAACCTCTCTAAATGAATGAATAAATAAATAAATAAATAAATAAATAAATGTCCTAATAATTTTGGAATAAGGGGCCACCCAGTTACTTTCTGCACTGGCAAGTTATATAGCAAATTAAAGAGCAAGCTCTACCTGGTTATGTCTTCTGCTTCTTGTGGACAGACAGCTCTAATCCATGGTTTACTTTCCTGGACGTTCGAATTTTTCAGTCCTTTGTGTTATGTCCTCCTCTTAACTGAACGTGCCCTAGTTAACTGTCAATTTGGCTACAGAATAAGAGCTCAGGAAGGAATACTTATCTGTGGGGAAACAAATCCAGCGAGCATGTTCCTTAGCAACTAAAGAGTTCATCTTATACTGAGAATGATTATAAATATGCTTTGGGGATTACTCTTAAAAGGAAAAAAAATAAATTATGCTTAATTTAAATAAGATTGGTTGTACAAAGAAGGCATCCAAAATGCTTAATATATTAACAATAAATGTACTATCTAGTGATTATTTCTTCTCTTTAAGAGAGCAAAGACTCATTAGAGGTTCCTTTGGCTCCATACACAAAGCAAGGGAATAACTGGTTTCAAAAAAGAAGGTAGCAGCTCAGATTTTCTATGGCTACTGCCTACTGACACCCAAAATTATGAAGCAAAAGGACAAAATTGTGGCTACAAAAACTCAGACCTGGTCAACAATTCATATGTTGAGGAATTAGGACTTCTAGAGATAATTAAGCATTCTTGCTGCAAATATAAGAAAATGTGTCTACTGGAATATAATTACTTCCTTTATATAGCATGATGAAAGCCCAGAGCTGCTCTGTTTTCTGCCCATGTTCCGCTACTTGTACTTTTTTGAGGAGAGAAGGGTAAAAAAAAATGACAGTGAAATACTTTTCTGTAATTAAATATTAAATGTCACTAAATAAAATCCTTATTGATAGTTTCGAGGCCACTTGGCAGTTCAAAGAAAATGTTCAAGGAAAAATATTCATAAGGCATATTGACATTTTCAGTCACTCTAGGTCCAGCAGGAAAAGATGACTGGAAGAAAAAAAGCAATCTAGTACCACCTGCATTCTGTCTATTCACAGAGGTGCTGTGAAGATTAATAAGTACTTTGATTTTTATGGAAAAAATGAAAAAATTAAAAAACAATGTATCATTACTATTGTATTAAAATTAAGTACATACTCTTTTCTCTTTACTGTGTGTGTGCTTAACATTGCTATAGAGTATGTGCACTCACTGAGAGAGACAGAGAGAAAGAAAGCTAGACAGCACTCCCAGGAGGGATGGCCATGCTGGAATCCCTTTTCCTCAAATCTCTTCTTGGAATTTTGGACATGTATGCACACGTGCCTGGCATGTTTTTAAGGTGTTGGGTCCGGGACTAGAACCACA